ACTTAGATAAAAACATGTATTAAAATAAAATATCATTCCCTCACTATTAGTGTCATTCCCTCACTTTTTAAATAGTGAAAATAATTAATTTACTTATAAATTAATTTGAAAAATAAATTAAAAAATTAATGAATTAATTTATTAAATTAATTAATTTATTTATTAAATTAATTTATTTATTTATTAAATTAATTAATTAATTATTATAAATTAATTAATTATAAATTAATTATTTAAAGAATTAATTAATTTAAATATTAAGTCTAATTAATAGGATATATACTTTCTTTATAATGCCATTACATATTCCTATTAATATAAAAAGTTTCAGAGCTTTTTATTCACTTTACTTTTTTGGGATTTTATGAACTGAAAAATGACAGTTTTCGTGAGAATGACCCATATATATATATATATATGTACACAGCAAAACAATAGGAAAAACAATAAGTTTTATTTATTGCGCATAAGCTGCAAGTAAACAGAACTCATAAGATAAGTTCAAAATGAAGATAAAACAAAGGAAAATTACAGACATATTAAAAAAGGGGGGAAAAGAAAAATAATAATAAAAAAAGAAGATATCAAACAACTGGAGAAAAAAAAGGATAAAATTTTTTTAAAAAATCCGGAAAATAAAAGATATCTTTTTATCAGTTGATCCTTTTTGCTGATATAATCTTGTGGACTGATGAAAAGATAGTATCTTTTTTTTCCGGATTTTTCAAAAAATTTTATCCTTTTTTTTTCTTTTTATTTTCCAGTTGTTTGATATCTTTTTTTTTTATTATTATTTTTCTTTCCCCCCCTTTTTTCACATGTCTGTAATTTTCCTTTGTTTTATCTTCATTTTGAACTTATATATATACATTAAATTGCTTACGAAAGGAGTCTTACTTCAAAAGGTGTCACATAATCTAGCATTCCTTTATTGTAAACATAAATAATTGCATCAAATAGTCCTTGATCCCAACATAATGTCATAACCTATAATAAAATATTAAAAAAAATCTAAATTTTTATAATTTTATTTGTTTAACATGCTTTGCTTAAGGCTTTAAAATCAGATCTTAATATTTGAAAATTTAATCATACTAGCCAATTAATCATGCATTTTTTTCAATTTTGAAGAAAGCATAATTACATTTCAACTCATTTATATATTCTAGTATAGTTGTTTCAAGATACTGTAATGAAATATAATGAAAGAAATATAATAAATAATTTAATAAAATAAAGCGAAACAATAATTTATAATTCCTGCTGCGATGAATAGTACATAAATTTGTAGCGTGAAGTGGTGAAATCATAATTAGAGTAATTAAAAAATAAATAAGAAATAACTTTAAAAAATAACTTGAAGAATGACATGTATTTTCTTACTTTCTAATACGTAATTTTTCATATTGCACGGATATACATTTCTTTGATATCATGAGGATATAAGTTGATAAGGATGTTACAATTAAAAATTTTCAGAAAAAATATTGAAATTTTCTTTTTAACATCGCTGTAAATTTTTTTAATGTATGAATATACTTCCATCTGGAACAGCAAAATAATAGTTTTCTCATTTATAAATTGATATTAATTAATATCAGCATAGAAAATAAATTTAAAATAACTATATTAAGCTGTAAATCAGAACATTATTGTTATTAATAGACCCTTACTTGATGAATATCTAAATCAGCTATATCTAGACGAACAATGCAAGATTCTAATGCATCAAACATTTTTCTTTCGGCAAAATGATTAACAAAATCTTTAACCAGCTGAGGTGTCATTTTTCTTAAACGACCATCTAGGATATAAGTTTCTAAGCTCTCCAAGAATACACCCAATGCCAAAGGATCAGTTTGGAATCTTTCATACATTTTCCCAAACAAGAAATCTCTAAAAGAATAACAGTTTAAATGCAACACTATCTAACATAAATGTAAGAAGTTTTTAAACATAAGAGGGAATCAAAACAGCAAATTCGTAAGTACATTAAAAAATAAAAGTAGAGTATATATTGCTAGTAAGTGCAAATTGCTTAAAATAGAGGCAAATTAATGAATTTAGATAACTCAAATCAATAGCATTAACTCAAAGATATGATGTAAAAACAATTATTTCTGTTAAATAAAAATGTTGATATGAATGTATTATTTTTCTTGTGCTTGCATTTATCCAAAACATAAAGTAAATTTTTTAAAATGAAATTTTATCAAGTGTGTTATAAAGAAAATCTATGAATATTACCAACGTAAAGACAACTCCTAAACATCCATAAAAAATTAAGGATTTGAAAAAATGTTTAATACATTGGAAAATACAGAATCTTCAAATTACCCACTTCATGACAACATGAACTCATTAACACTTAGAAACTTTACAATAAAAAAGGAATCAATCTGCAATAATTTATAACAGGTTGTCATTTTTGTAGTTTTCAAAATTTTTAGCCAAAATTTGAATGCCAAAAATAATTGACTATTTAAATTCATTCTAACTGTTAGAACTTCATAACCCATTCAAAAAAAAATAATTTAAAAATTATCTCAAAAAGTAAATAATCGTTTGGTTTCAATTTAATTATTTTTGAGAAGAAATAAAACACCCCTTTCAATTAAAATTACAATGCGTGTAAATTTTTAAATAAACTTAAGATGCATTAAAATTTATGTCAGAAAAAAATTCCATATATTACTTTTTATTCACTCTTACGCAATATTCCACACATAAGGGTATTTTTTCTTGATAGTGATGAATCAATTGTTCAATTTTTCCCCTCTCTGGGCAAAGCTGAGTCATAATCAAATCTACATATATACTCAGTATGTCCAACATCTTAAAGGCAACTAGATCTTTTCTTTGAGATTTCTTACCAATAAGACCTGATGAGAGTTAAATAACTATCAGTAATAAATTCCTAAAATATGACACTAATTAAAATTTGAATAAAGAACTATATATTAAATGTATAAAAATTTTTTAGGTATGGCGATAATTTAAAAATGACAAGTTTCTTTTCAATAACAGCATATGAACTTTTTAGCCACATTTCTTCAAAACGAAAAAACAAAGTGACTTAATATAAGTATAGAATGAAGTTAGGTTTAATGAATTTGTGCAATAAAAATTTGTTAAAAGCTTAAATAATAAAACTAAGTGGATAGGACTTTTATAACCACCATTATCTATATAAATCTTTTTAAAAAATATGTTCAGTACTTGGAAAAATACTTACAAAAGAACTTTAGTGTACAAAAGAACTTAAATGAAATTAAAACTTTGGATTATTATATAAAATTCTGTTTATATTTTGAGTAACAAGAGAATACTTTTTTTTATTTTTGACTGAATCGCCCAGTTTTAAATATGTACATCATGCAAACAGCAAGAACTTCATGAATTTGAAACAATAGTATGAAGCGTTTCTGAAATTGAATTAATCCTGAAATAAAGGGTAGATTTTTAATTATCCCAGCATTGGAAACTGTGTGTTAAGTTGTATTACTAAACCATATTAGTCTGAGATAAATTTTATTGAATATTAATTATTACAATATTATCCTTTCTAATTAAAAAAAACCACCTGTTAAATTTATATAGATAAAAAAGGCAAAAAATAACGCAAAGATTAAAAAAAATGAAAGTAATGCAGGCGTTTTAATATATAGAGCAAAATGAAAAAAATTTGCTACTGGCCAGATGCCAGTTGTAGCATTTTTAGCAGAGACCACTTTTTCAAATATTGAAAATTTTGAATAACAGATAAACTTAGTAAAACTTAAAATACAGTTTTGTGTAATAGATTTTGTATTATAAATTACTACTAAATATGATGGAATTATTAGTTTATTTTAATGTAAAATTATTTTTATGTATTTTTATTGGTGTGACATGGAACATTTAAATAGAAAGTCTGCATTTTAATTCAAGAATCAATATCTCTTCTCATAAGAATTATTTAAGTGAAGAATTCACACTTTGTTGCAAGTTAAAAAAAATTATGAGTTACTTAGTAATTATTAAACTTGCAATACATAGTATGAAATAATAACTTATGGATGTTTCTAAATGCAAATCTTTTGCAAAATAATTATTATTTTTTTCTTTTTTAAAAATTTGAAAAAAAATTCAACTTAACAAAAAGTATAAATAACTATGTTAATATACTTTTTCTGTTTAATTATAAAGTGTACGAACTTTTAAATGAAGGGTGGAAAAATATTTAGCTGTTTATTATAAATTTATACTTCTGGGTTTGCACAACTTCCTGAAAAAAGAAAATGACTATGTCATGTTAAATTGACTATGTCATGTTAAAATAGAGATAGACATGCAATCCATAGATTTATTTTTCTGGAAGGGAAAAAAATCATCCATTGCTGTAATAAGTATGTTGCAATGGTATATAATTACACACACTATCCATCCAAAGGACAAGCGTCTGTTACTGTTAATAGTGTTTTATCTATTAGAAAAGAAGTGACCTTTGTCAAATTACTGAAAGCTCCCGCGCTGGTACTCGTCTAATTGAACTTTCACACTGTACTAATGAGAAGAATTTCACAACAGATTTAAAATACACTTAGTTTAACTTATTGCACTCAGTAAATTTAAACACTTGGGATGGTAACTAAGTTGGACCTTAGTATTGAACAAAAATCCTTAGCTCTCCACTATTAGGGTGATTGATGACCAAGTCAATTGCATCAACAAAGTGAAATAGAGATACTAAAATAATGCGCAGTTAGTTGTTTATATTTAGTTAACAATTAAAGCTCAAATGTTGAATTAAGTTGGACTCAGCTCAAATGTTGAATTAAATTAAAAGCTCAAATGTTGAGTTAAGTTGGATGGTAATTAAAATGAATCTCAGGATTGAACAAAAATCCTTAGCTCTCCACTATTAGGGTGATTGATGACCAAGTCAATTGCATCAACAAAGTGAAATAGAGATACTAAAATAATGCGCAGTTAGTTGTTTATATTTAGTTAACAACTAAAGCTCAAATGCTGAATTGCTTCATTCAAAATATTCAAACAATTTAAAAACGAATCATATTTTTTTGAAGAACATCTAAGAATACTTCATTGTAAAATTACCCAAAACCATTTGAATAATACTAAAAATGTAAATATCATAATAAGTTTACAGAAAAATCCCTTAACAGTATAATCATATTTGAAAAAAGAAATAATCTAAGAACAGCTAATTGTCCAATTGAATACTTGCAAATGAGGTCACATGTGTACCAGTCAAGGAGGTTCGACAGACACTCATGACACCATCTGCAGGTATCTGATTAAATTTAATCTGGTAATTGATTAAGAGTGATATTTTACCCAAGCCTTAAAGCTGTTACAAGTCATGCACAACCACGTAATTAGACACAACCATGTGTTTTCTTGCAAGTAGCTAATTACCTGAAACTGCTTTAGCACTTTCTTCATAAAATGACAGAGCAAGTGACAAAGCTTCAGTAAACATTTTCTGCTTCACTAAAAACTCAATTCTCTGGAAAAGAAAATAGGTATAAGGATTTCGATAAATAGAAAAAATATAAGTTTTACATGATAGGAAAACATTGAGCAGATTCAATAATTACTTCATTCCAGGTTCTCATAGTCATCACGTGTATACTTTTAGTTCCTAATATCAACAGTTGACTCCCAAATGCAGACATGGAGTAATAACAAGCTCTTTCACCAGCAACTGCCTAAAAAGTCAGTAAAAAATGCATTTCTGAGATTTTATTTAATCTTTTTTCCAAACATAAAACACTTTTAATTAAGTAGTGTAGGAAACATAAATTTCACAAAATATAATAAAACTAGGCAGCATATTATAACAAACTAATTAAAAAGTTCAGAGAATAAGCAAGAAAAATATTTCTGAACTATTTAAATATAAAATATGCTTCAATTCATTTTTTCTTTCAAATTAGAAAATGAGAGCTTTTAACAAAATATAAAAAAAATTTATCATTTTCATACATTTTTCTTTTTTAAAAATAAAACAACTATAGAAAACGGCAAAGTTGACTAATATTAAAGAAAGTTTAACAATAAATCCAGCTTCATAAAACGTACCATAGCTTTACTGACATTGCCACCTGTAGCAAGGCCTTTGAAATGAGTAGTACCATAGACTAACTGAACATCAGCTAAATCCAATACCTAAAATATTTTTTTATTTTTTATAAAGAAACAAAATAGGAATGAAACTTTAGATAGTAATTATAATTAAACACAAAAACTAAAAACAAACATTACACTAAGTTACCTCTAATTCTTCATTGGATTTTACATCAATTACATGAAGGTGCTCTGAAACATCTAAAGTGACTAATGTTCTTGAGTTTAGCCACTGGAAAAAATGAAAGCAAATTTAATTTTAAATTTCAATCCATATTTGAAATATTTTAAAAAATCTATTAATTGGTTGGTAATATCAAAAGAGCATGAACTGAATTTAAAACCATGTGCTCAGATATCTCTAATAATTTCAAGAATTTATTAATTATTAATTCAGAGATTTGAAGTCTATTCAGAGTCTATTAAGTTTTATTTTGGTCCAAAAGGATTTCAAGATAATTGAATTATTTTGATACATCTTATATTACGAATGTACTCATCTTTTATTGCATTGTGAGCTTAAATTACGTTAAGACAAATAAAAAAAAAGTAAAGGTTTTTAAAATGCAAACAAAATATTTTTCTTGAAGTAGCACAATTTATTTGAAAAAAAAATTTCTTTTTTTTTCTTCATATATTTACATTTTTGCATACATTTACAATTTTGACTTTATCATTTCTTGTCAATTAAGTCATAACCATACAAAGAAGATTTGAACTAATTGCAATAGCCCAAAAACAACATGATGTATATTTTTATGCATAAATTATATTTCTATCCATTTCATTCTACACCAATTCATATTTAACTATAGAGTAAAAATGTCAATATATATTTTTAACACAGTTATTTTCTATTCAATCACTATATATATTCACACATTTCTAAATGTAAAAACTTAAATCACATAAAACACATTGTAAAAAAGCATAGCAATAATTTTGCTATAGTAAAATAGAGGCTAATTAATTAAGTTATAAATAATACAATAACACTTTGAAAATACTTATAAGCATAGTATTCAAATGATAGCATACTAAGACTCAAATGATAGCATAACAATGCTAAGTTACATTATGGTAAATAACAATAAACACTTTCTTCAATCAATGAATTATATACATACTGCAAAATTTTGAAATGAATAAGGAAGCTCCAGTTTCTGTAGGGGAATAAAATTGATCTTTTCAGCAGAGGCAAAATTCACCTATCCAATAAAATGTTGGTTTAAAGTTAAAAGAAGTGTAAAATATTACTAAAATCTACAATACAAGAGGAAAGAAATTAGTATTTCAGTTGAAGCAACGTTTTTAAATTAAAATAAAATCAATTTTATTAATTAGGGGCTATAGATATTTTGCTTTGCATACCAAAGTCAATATATATATATGTAACAATCACATTCAAATATGAAGTAAAATGAGAAAAAGCTAAAATTTTAGAATGTATAAATTGAAATTTGAATAAATATGCTTAAAACAAAGAAAACATACCTGAAAAAAATTTACAGTGTTTTGTCTTCCAAATGCCAAAACAGGGTCAATTATTCGTGTAGAAGAAGAAATTTGGATTACAACAAATTGCCAACTCAAAACTGGTAGAGTATCTGGATCAGCCTTTAGAAATTATTATAAATATTATGAAGAAATAAATTTTTAATTTGCATTTTACTAGATAACATTTTTTAATTAATTTTCAGGAATTATTGTAAATTATAGGAAAACTTTTAAGACATGTAATTTCATAATACATATATGAATAAGTGCAAAAAGATGTTCTGCTTGTTTTAAGACTTCTTTATTGTGTTACATTATTTGGGAATTTTAAGTAAAAATAATAAAATACAATCTGCAAGTGGTTTAAAAAACCATACCATCCCTTCAATTATAACAAAAAAAAATTGAAAGTTTAATGAATAGAAATTTGGATGTCTATGTGAAGCTCCAGATTCTTGCTTGCTGTCCCCAAATGACAGTAGGGCGTACCTGGTCAGAATGGGTGAAGTACATTGGTAGTATATACTCCTTTAAGGTCACTCTAGATGTGAAAACCATTCAATTAGGTTCAGCTAAAGTGATTAGGCACTCAGGGCATGGGTGCAAGTTGGAAAAAAGGCCCAGACTGAAAATTTTTTTGACTGAAATACCTAACATACACAATACCCCCTCGACATATGCAAACTATCTAAGAAAGCTTTACCATAATACATCAAGTTTAAATACTGTACAAAAAGTATTTATTCATTTGTCTTTTGATAAAATAACAACAGGACATAAGAAAGTAGACCAATAACGTAGACCTAAAAAATATTTTTAAGGACAGAAGAAAAAGAAATTCCGATTTCCGTCTTCGAGTCAGTCTTGTTTCCGTCTTACTTCCGCCCGCGGACATTTCCGAAAGGCGGAAATCCGTCCTGGGGACGGAAGACTTGCACCCATGACTCAGGGCTAAATCACTCTTCTCCCTTTGGTGCCAGACTCTCAGATTAATTGAAGTTGCTCCTTTTTCATAATCACAAAACCAATTTCAAATTCGATTTAATACTGAGTTGCCCCTAAAGCAGGTTAAACAGGAATTCGAACATGGTTCGAGAGATGAGTGTTGATGAAAGAGATGAGTGTAGTTCTAGAAAATATGGACTGTAGAAAAGCACCAGGCCCAAATAACATTCATGGTTACATGGTCAAACATCTCAGTACTAATGAAAACTGGGTTGTCTACCTTAGGAGTGGTAGGACTTTCTTCAATTGCAAGCTCAAGGAGAGACTTATTCTGGTCAGATAGAACTTTTATTTCTCTTCTAAAGGCCCGCTCCCTAAGGGGCAAGATGGATTTAGACAAGCCATACCATTGATCAGATTTTATTATTTTACCTGAATGTCAGAGACGCTCAAAATTTAAAGCCAACTAACCACACTGCTGCTGTTCTTTTGGACATGTCTAAGGCTCTTGAGTGTTTGAAGAAAAAAGTTATTTACTAAACTTCATGACGTATTTGGTATTAAAAGTATTTGGATTATAGACTTTTTACAGAACAGGACCATAAGAGTAATATGCAAAAATACTTTGCCTAAAACTTGTGGACTGAAACATGGTTTTTCACAAGATTCAGTTCTAAGTGTCGTATTGTTCTCACTTATGTATTACTCGTCTCAAAGAGATAGAACTGAAAAAATTCCATAACACAATCAAGAAACTATTTAACTTACGGGCACTTTAACTAAGTGAAATTCATATATCTTTTTAAAAAATATAGAAGTTAAAAAAAGATTATTCATATGTATATGTATACTCTACCCTAAATAATAATTTTATATGCTTTTTAATTTAAACAAGTTTAATGAAAAACATTGCACATTAAAGTGTATTCTTTTTAACACAGAGGACAATGAGACAATTTCTGAAATCAACTAAAAACCACAAATATACAACTATATAATTTTCAACAATATATATCCTGTTCTACTTGAATACATTAAAACACAAATTAAATTAATATTTACTCGAAGAGCATGTGTAAACCAAACTCGAAGAGATGGCCTCACAGTCACAGCAATAACCTGCAAGTTAAAAAGTGTACAATAATAATAGAAAATCAAATTATTTCTGAAAATATACTTCATGGCATGTTGCTAATATTAATTATTAAATTAAAATTTAGGTCAAATAAATTTTAAAAATTAGTTGATACATTTAAATTTAAAACAGAAAATCTTAAAATGGTGCTTCAGAATGAATACTCAACAGCAAATCTAAAAAAAAGTAAATGCTTAATCGTTTTGATAAAATTTTTAAAAATTATAAGTTTTAAAAAATATAAAAATCCTTTCATTAAAAAATTTATATAAATACTTTATGATACAAATATAAATTATTTTAAATTCCAACAACATAAATATGAATTTGAATACACATTTAAATACATAATTTCGTAAGTTATGAGAACAAACACAATCTTACTTTTGTAACTGTGCCTAAGGCAACAAGACATACTTCTTGACTTGGATGGTTACGAAAGTGAGGAGTCATTCTAAGAGGCTCTACAGCACATACCTCACCCCGACTATAAAAAAAAAAGAATGTTTGGATAAAAGCAACTAAATGTTGAAATTTCAATAGATAATTTTCAAAAATGAAATAGCATTCATTAGTTTTATTTTGAAAATAAAAAATGGTTACTAAACATGTCCGTCCAGGTACATCCCTTTGAAGCTGGCGATAATAGAAAGAAAGAGGCCTCTTAATAAAATCAAAAGTATAAAAATAAAATCTTCAACCAAATTTGAAATCAATTTACAAATTGATTGAATATGTTTCCTGAAAAATATTAATTATTTTTAAAGTAATGGTTAAAGTCAACTAGACTACACTGCCTTGTTTAGCTCAATTGCAATAATTTTGCTGAATTTTATTATTAATATTTAGAAAAAATTAGTCGAATACTTTATTTTATTTTTACTGCACAAAAAAAATGTTCTTTCTTCGGATTTGATTATTCAAAATTTCAGAATCAGCTGTAATGCATAAGATGTAAAGAACATGAGCTGATCAAAATGGGTCATAAACTGAGACTGACACACAGAAAAAAAAAGGGCACAAGGATTGCAGGATTACTTTGGGGTTATTGGAATCATGTTCACTTAAAGGGATCCCTCCTGAGGAGATGTATTTACCTTGAAACTTTTTTTTATGAAATAAACAAAAATTGTAACAAATAATGAACAAGTAAAATAATAGTGAAAAAATGTATTACTTAGAAGTATTAGTTTACTTACAAACATTTCAGGCAAATAGAATAAAAAAATATAAATCAAAAATGTACAGGAAAATTTTCAAGAAGCTGAATTTCATTTTGAATGTGATTTCATTTGGAATGTGAAAAATTACATGATATATCAGCATATTAATGAAAATAAAAAGAAACTTCAAAAAAGTTAGCTTTAATAAAATAATACAAACCCTCTGAAGCTTTATAATCATAAGGAGTTTAATTGTTAAATGTTGATGTTTTTTTTTTTTTTGTATTGTAGCAAATAAATTTGACTGAATTCTTTAAGAATTAGTAAGAGAATTTGAAGATAGTAACTGGACTTCTATGCCATTAAAATATTGTAAATATAATAATTTATTATGTAATTTCATAATGTAACTTAAAAAACATACAATTAAAAATAGTAAAAAACTTAACGAGTAAGGTGAAATCAATAATTTGAAGCAAAATATCCAATGTTTTATAATTTATTGCAACTAAAACCAATGCAATTAAACTTACCTTCCTGAAAATATACACCTAGTTTCACATGTTCTAGTTCCCATGACTCTCCTAAAATATACAATAAACTAAGTATAAAGTAAACTTCCGTTGGAAAATGTGACATTAAAAGAAATACAGTAAACTTTTTTTAATAATCCTAACACAGCTCAATAAAAATTAGTTTCCATTAAAAATTTAACAAAAATAAAAAATTTTACGATTGAATGGCAAAATATAAATGGAGAGGCAAAATTATTAAAATTAGTAACTTTATGTGAAATTTTTTTAAAAGTAGAACTCTAGTTAAGATGGAAGATTATTTTTTTTATTTTTTTACAAAACAGTACATTAAATTTTGGTTTGTGCAAAACAGTATAATAAATTTTACAATTGAATGGCAAAATATAAATGGAAAGGCAAAATTATTAAAATTAGTAACTTTAAGTGAAATTTTTTTAAAAGTAAAACTCTAGTTAAGCTGGAAGATTATTTTTATTTTTTTTACAAAACAGTATATTAAATTTTGGTTTTAAGACCCAATGGAGTCATCATTAATTCAATAGATTCCTAATCATGAAGTTTAATATCTGAACTGTAAATGAAGATAATTTGAAAAATTCCATAAAATATGTTATTTAAATCTGTTATCTATTATAATTTTTTAAAATTATTTGACAAAATTACCCCAAATAGGTTTATTTATAAAACATTATGCAGGATTTAAAACAGTACTAAAAAGCAAATCAAAACTGAAAATTATCTTGGGTGATTTAAAATTTCTTTCTGAATATTTTTTAAATAATAACAATAAAAATGAAACAAAAAATACTTCATCAAGAACTTACTTGAAATTTAATTCAAATACTGAGCCACCACTATCACTACATAAAGCCAATGTGGGATCATCTGTAAACTAAATGTAATATATATATATATATATGGTNTATATAACATAAACTTTTTATGTTACATGTAACATAAATAGATTCAGCTAATCTTTTTATGTTACATATGTATACATATATATCCTTAACATCAAAGATACAATTTTAGACTGATTTATTTATCTTTTAGCATAAATATGAACAAAAAATATAGTTTCAGAATGGTTATAAAAAAAAACCACACCTTTCAAACTTAATTATAATAATAATTACAATATTTTTATAACTTAATTACAATATTCTAAATCAATATTTAATAAAATCGAATATATATTATTTTTTTTCAAAAATAAAAACATTATTGCATTATTCAAAAATCATTATTTACTGAAGCAAAATTAAAGAAAATAACCAGTTGAAAATAATTTAAGTATATCTGTGAAGCAAAATGCATAGGTCCCATTATATAAATCGACTGCTGAAAAAACCAAATACAAAAAGGTCTTTTTTACAGCAAACTCTTTTAAAAAGTGTAGGAAATTTCAAATTCTTTGGATGGGGATGAAGACCATTTTTTATGGTATTCAGCAGATGAGGATATAGTAGAAATCATTGCAAAGTGGTTGCACCATTACACTGCTCATGTTATTAAATACACCACAAATATATTCTGAAATTTTTAAAATTGTAGCTTTTTGGTATATTTTAAAAGTTTTCAATGTATTATATTTTTTGAAATACTCTTGAATAATTATCTTAGCTCTTCTTATTCTCAATTTTTCCCCGAACATAATTGAAAGTATTGTTTCTAAAAAAAACTTTATATGTAAAGAAAATATGAGAGAAAATACAAAATTAATTGTATAAAATATATTAAAAATAGTTTTTGAAAGAGGTAAATTGATTCAGAGTTATTCATATCTATCTTATTGTTTAAAATGCCATTTAAGGAGGTTTAAAGAGATTTGTAAAAAAAGATACCGTGATAAAGAGATTTAAGATAAAGAGATTTAAGGAGGTTAAAGAGATTCGACTTATAAACCAGGACACAGTATACATATATACAATGTGTAAAAAAAAGTTTGGAAATGGTCCAATATCTCGAGAAATATACATCAAATCAAAAAAGTGAAAATAGACTTATTTAATATTTTTTTAAAAGCCATTCAATCATCTCAAACTTTCTTTCTAAACTGTTCCCCCAAGGGACAGGTGACAGACAACTTAAAAATCTTAAATATAAAACCCGATTTTTTATTGCAGATTCGTATCTTCCTGAAAAGAGTTAGCCAATTCGACTAATGTTATGCATTTTCCTTCACATATAGCACAGTAACCGAGAAAATTAAAATAGGGTCCAAACTATTTAAAATGAAGCTGCAATAAAAAATAGGAGTTCATATTTAAAATTTCAAAGTTGTCCCCATTCCGGGAAGGGGTGAAAAATGAATTTGGTATAATTGCATAGCTTTTAAATAATATTGAATGTGTCTATTTTCACTAATTCAATTCGATGATATTTGACAGGTTCCAAACTTCTTTTTTTACACCCTGTATAAATATATATGTGTGTATAAGTGTGGCAGTTATTAGGCCTCAGAGTTTTTTTACAAAATAGGTGGTCTGCGAAAAAAAAAAAAAAAAGGTTGGGAACCACTGTTCCAAGAGTTGGCTTTTTCTGAACTTATGACTACAGGCTTTTCATTATCAGAAAATCAGTTTTCTATATATTATTCAATAGAAAGCAATGTGTAGCCTGGAAATATCAGCACAATTTTGTCTTACACACGGAGATTTGAATAAATAGTTAAATTCATTTAGGTAGATTCATTTGCTTCATTAATATACATCTGAGAAAATATATTGAGGCAAGTAAAAGTTTCATTTGGTTTGTATTTTCAGAATAATATACGTGGTAGGGCATATAAATTGTTTTAGATTTTTCAAGTCCTAATATGAAAACAAAAAACGTATATTTAAAGAAATCTAAATTTAAAAAAATAAAAGATAAAACACACACAAAAAAAGTCAGCAAAAATAAATTTACAAGTTTCATTACTTTAATGTGAAGAACAGCATTTTGCATAGGATGAGCATCAGAAATTGTCCTAATTAATTTTCCTTTATGTAAATCCCACATTGTGATCTATTGGATAGATAAAAGCAAATTGAAGAGAATAGTACGATTTTTGATTTAATTTTACAAATAAGAAAAATAGTAATACTTCTCCTCTGCTATATCCAGCAAGCAAACGACTGCAATCATTGTTAAAGGCTAAAGCTGAGACAGAACCATATTTTTCTCCATATTCTGTAGTACCCAAGCACCATTTCAAAACTTGCTGAGGATCTGTCAAAATTTTAAAAATTACAAACATAACATTTAAAAAAAAAAAATTTACCTAAATTCACAAGAATTTTTGGTGAAAAAATTATAATTATAAATATAATAATAGACAACATTCTATTTTCAAGTGCAATAAAAATTTATATATTTTTGCATTTCATTGTTTGACTGTTAATAATGTTATTAAATACAGGTCAAATTTAAAATAATTACTAAGTTTTATAATATCTTACCAAATATTAAAGTTATTCCATGGAAAGTCCCAACAGCTATAACTGAAGATACAGCCTGAGTAAAAAATAACACAATTTAAAAAAATATTGATAACACAAAACATGGAATTTAACATGCTTTCATGTCTCATGAAATAAAATATTTAGTTTTTGTGAGAATAAAATTTATATAGGAAAAGTTACGTACAGTTTTAAATATCAGGAATAAGAATAAAATAATAAATAAACTGATAATCTAAAAGAAATTGAGTTAATCCTAGATTACAAATGCATGCTATATTGACCACGAGGAGAAAAAAATGAACAATAAAATAAATTTGGTAAATGGTATTGGGAGTAAAAATGGCACACACAAAAAGCAAAAACACAAATATGGTAAACAATACTTAATTTAATTATAACAGTGATTTAACCAATCAGCAAGTTTTCGATGTACATTTCAGTTTTACCAAATAGTAAATTAAACTAAAATTAATAAAAAGAAATAAGTGAAGGGTGTTCAACTTTACAAGACAAAATATGTTATTCAGGAGTAGACCAAAGTTGTAATGAAATATCAACTAACTCAAAACAGCTTAACACAAATATATACAGCTTATATTTTTGCAATAATGAAATTTATATTCTTTATCTAAATTTCAGCTTTTTTTTATTTATTAAATCAGACAATTGGGGTTGAATCTGGTTCATCTTAACTAAGTTCAACTGTAAGTGCAATGAGAACACTAGATTGAGTGAGGAAGAAAACTTTTTCATTGGTTATAAAATAATCAAAAATTATTTAATAAAGATAGAAAACTGCTTACAAGTAAACTTTTATGAACATTTTATTTTATAACCATCATTGAACAGCCAAACCAATTTTTGGGTTTACGACTACTGATGTTCAACTCCATAGGCTCGTAATTTTAAACTCAATCCAGAAGACAAGGAAACTCCTGGATCAAGTATTGGGAGAAATTTATAGCCTTCACGGAGGACCTTTTGATAGAACTAACCCACAGTTGCGTTACTTGGAGAGGGAAACCACGAGAACCTCCCATAGTAAGCCTGATGGCAAAGGAACTATAACCCATGATCCATCTACCACTGAGGATATTTCACGACAGCAATGCGGTCAGTTTTTATCAACAAATCCAACATTCAGTCTCCACTAAATATACTATTTAATTAAGTTTTAAAATATTTATTTAACTCAGTATTATGTAGACATGTTAAGTACACATCATGTTAAGCTTAAATCAATGTAATTATAACAGAAGACAGTTATATCCTTTTTAAACATAGAGAATTTTATACTAACCATTGATGTTGGTTTTCCAGCATTAACTCTTTCTGCAGCTGATTGTAACTGAGCTGAAACTCCTCTTAATGTGACATGCCGTAAAATAGATCCATGTATCTTGAATTGAGGACTTTTTTTCTCTTTCTGACTTGAAAGTCTGAAAACAAAACTATTTGATAATTCTTTGAAAAATGGATATCTAAGTCAGTTGTTTTATTTAAATAATATAAGACAAAGTTAAGATTTGAACAAGTTGATTAAAAAAGATCAAACTAAGAGTTTAATCGATTGATGATAAAATGAACAGTTTAATGGCACAAGAGTTGTATGCAGCTATGATTATTGGATATTTTCTTTGGAGAATAAATTGTGTAGAGTGCACAAAATAAAAAATGGACTACCCTGGATAACTTTTGATCTAATAATTTGATCTACATGTTCTAGGTCTCAATCGTAAAGGTTCGAGGAGGTGACATCAAATATGCTAATTAATTACTGCAGACCATATTTTAAGTTCTGAAATCAGACACAAAGCGCACTTTCTCTGAATAAAAATACATTTTTTCTACGGATTCGACTTTCTGGCACCCAAGATACAGAGGATAACCGCAATCTGCGAATAATGGTCCTAATAATTTGGTCAGGAGAGTAGTCCAAATTTTGGACCTACGCATATTTCACGTATCTTGAGAACTTTTTTTAGCAAATTGAAAAATTTTTGCACACAATTATTAAACTGGTTTATCCAAAGATAATTTCAAGCAAAATAGCAAATATTTATTATTTTATTTAATAGCAGTCTAAAAAAATTTGAATTGTACAGTATATAATTTTTACATTATTTTAAAGACTGTAATTTGAAATGGCTAAATACAAAATTTTAACAAAAGCAGTTGATTACTTCCTGAGAAATTGAATTAAAAAATTCATATTTTTTAAATCTGATTTCTTAGCAACTATATGACTGATTTCACTCAAATTTCGTATTTTGCCAATTAAAATTACATTCCTTAAAATGATGTAAAAAATTGTATACCTTACAATTCAAAATATTTTTGACTATTATTAAATAAAATTATAAAAAAATAATAAATATTTACAAAAAGTTATATTTTGCATGGAATTAACTTTGCATAAACAAATTTCATAAATGTGTATCAAAAATTTTGTTAAAAAAGTTCTTGAGATATGGTGAAATATGCAAAAAGTAAAAGTATCATTGAGGGGTAGAACATTTAAATCACTCTCCTGACCAAACTCTTAGGAAATAGAAAATCAGTTTTATATTTGTAAAGATACAACAATATCATTATCAATAAATAAGACAAGATAATCTTCATAAAATTAGTATGATTTATTTTCTATTTTATTATCCTTATTCATCAATTATTTTCTGCAAAAAAACAAATATAAACATGAAAAACTAATTATTCAATTATGTATTATTCTAGATGTATGAAAATAATTATTTTAAAAACATTTTCTAATAATTTGTTTAGTAAAATATTAAAGCTCAAACATACTTTCTTTCACGACGAGTATGAGATTCAAGGCTGTCAATCGAAGTTGTTTCACAAGTTTCCTGAAAATAGCCAAGGTGACTCGAAAATTCTTCATCACTAAGAGATGCATCATCTGTCTAAAAAATTGAAATTAAGTTATCAACAATAAGTAAAAACAATAATTAAAATTCAATGCCTTTATTTTTGTTCATAAATTATTATAATTTATTAAGATCAGTGAGATTGTTTTGGGGGACAGAAACCCTTCTGAAATTAAACATTACTTGATTAATGAACATTAGTTCCGTAAGTAGGCTGATGTAGGTATAAAAAATTTCAATTATTTATTAAATTATTAATTTTTATAATTTAAACGTTTAGAATATATATACATATATTAGATGGAGATAACTGATAACCTCCTCGAACATACATCGAAACTATACCAGAGTGCGTAGCCAAATTATTCAACAAAAAATAAGCACCTTTTAAGCACTCTAATAATATCTTTAAGCACTTTAAAAGAATATCATAATTAGGCAGGGTTGAAAAGTTTTTGACAATCGACGGTTTTATCTGTTTTTAACAGTCATGTAAAAAAAAAAAAAATATTCTTTTGGCATTGTTTATGGCAATTATCAAGATTTTTGAATCATGTAAATCGAATATTGTTTTCATAAGCTACAGTCTGAAGATGGGCCGAAATAGATTGTGGTTGAATTAATTGTGAAAACATTGAATAGAACAATGTGAACAGTGTCTTTCAGCATAATTCGTATCGAAAATCAACATGGTAAAGGAAAAATCTCAATTTGGAAAAGGGTAAACTAAGCACTTTTTAAAAACACCCAATGAAAAAAGCACCTTTAAGGGCTTTTAAAAAACGAAAATCGAAAATAAGCACCCTTAAACACTTTTTAAAAATGCTATGCCACTGTACACCACTGATTAAGAATACTATATATTATAGTTTATTAAGAAACCCTTTAATAAATAATGTTAAATGAACACATGTAGAAGCTTAAACTCAAATACAAAACTCTTTGCTCAGGGGTCTGTCTAGGTTTTTCTGAGAGGTACCTATTTTGTGAAAATGTAGACATAATTTGTGAAAAATTTAAAATTTATATTTAAAAATCAACACAAAAATATGGATTAATCATTTCTTAAGAAATACAAAAATGAAATTTGAAGAAAAAATATTTTGTGAAACTACAGTTTGTCCTAAATTTGAATTTGTGAAACTATCGTTTTTCCTTAAGTTGAATTTGTGAAGGTACTGCTAAACGGTAGTAAATACAGCCTGAACAAATCCCTGTTACTATTTAAAAAGTACCAACATATTACCAATAATCAATACATAAACATTAGCAGAAGTGTTTTTTTTAAAAATTTAATAACAATCAGATAGCTTTTTCAATATAAATACCAAATTTAGCAAAGATATAAGGGAAAAAAATTCCTTACACAATTTTATTTATGGTAAATGAAATTCTAATGTAACTCAACATTCTTAAGTATTTTTTAAAAAAAGAGGCTTAATAATTAAATTCTGACTAAAGTAAAAGTATCCCATTCTTAACCAATGTTTGGAAATAAATTCTAATTTACACAATTTGCAACTTGGGGTCCAAAACACCTGTTTCTTATCTTCCTTCCTTTATTTTAATGTTCAAGCTTTTTTAGTGCAATAACTTCACCACTCAGGGCCCTGGTAATATCTGGGGGAGATTTTTGTATCGTGATCTGTGGTAGATTAATCGCCAAGTCTTAGAAAGTTCCGGGCAGTGGACCATAAGAAACTAAAAAAAGATTACAGAAAGGGACCAACTCGAAAGGTATAACTCGTAGAAACCCTCGAGCAAACATCTACATGCTTTTGTTAAAAAAAATTTGCAAGTGTAAAATCTATTAGGCACCTCGGCGATTGTGTGTGACAGATCACAATGCGGAAATATCCCCAGTATCTCTTCTAAAAATATCTGCTCTTGCAAATTCAATTTCTTTTTTTCTGCATAATTTTACATATTTTTTAAAAAAGTAAATTAATTTTAAAAAAGTATCAGCAAAATCTAATGAACATCCAAACATACCCTATTTGCATGGGCGGCAATTTTACTTATGTTATCAAAATTTCTGACAAATAATAATGGTGAAACAAAAAAAAAAAATTTATAATAAATTAGATAATATACAGTTTTAAGCATTATGCTGAAAATATAAATTTGAACAGTTTTCATTCAAAAAATAACTATTTTGAAAAATATTGTTTATCCCAAAACTTGACAAAAAATAGCATTTTATTTATTGCCTAAAAATTGCATAGAAAGTAGTTAAACTAAAGCTTAAACTTACAAGGTTTCACAATTTTTTTTTTACCAGATCTAATTACTGCAATATGGGAAAAACTGCTAGAATTTTAAGCATATAAGATGCATAAGAGATTTTTACGAATTTGGTATGGTATTGTCTAACTATGTACACTATATTCTACTTCACCGTCACGAACAGCAAATCGAAAAACTAATTCAAATCCAATAAAAGAAAATAAAAATATACATACTTCATTTAAAATACTTTCTAGAGTCGGAGGAGTATCAATTGTTGGCAAATCAAATTCTTTATCATCTAGCTAAAATAAGAAAAAAAAAAATAGAATAAAAGGTAATACATGCTCTTATTATATTTTTATACAAATAAATTAATAAAGTATAAGTAAGAGTTATTATAGTTATAAATTGAAGTATATATATATATATATATTTACTTCTTCTATGTCAAAGTTTAAATCTCCTAACGTTGACGGAGAAATTTCCCGACGAGGCAAAGTGGGAGTAGCAAAATCTTCAGACATTTCAAAACCATAACAAATTAGCACAACCAGAGCAGAAAACAGAAACACGAAGAATTGATGATTGATAATAACAAGATATCATTTATTGATATGTTGATGCAATTATTGCTTTTTTACTTTGTTTTTAAAAAAGAAAATACAACTATAAATAATATATAATTAAATAGCGGATAAAAAAATTGCTTAGCTAGGGCGACTTTTCTCTTCAGAAGTATCTCTCGGCTATTACTTAAATAATCCGTATTATTTTTCGTGTTATTGTTTGGCAACACACAATTCCTTCTGTTTGTTGATGTTGGAAGGTTTCTGTTTGTTTCCTGTTAGAACGTATGTATAATCAGAATATTTATTTTTTCAAAAAATGTTTTTTTTTTTATTTTTTAAATATATGTGTTTCGATTGAAACTTCTTATAAAAGATCTCAATTTTTAAAAATGTTTTTATACCATTTAACAATAAAAGTGTATCTCTTAAAATAGTTTGTTAAAAAGTTGAACTATGCTACAATTGCAAAATCAAAATTTGTCTTGACTTATATTTCTATTGTTCTATTTTTCGATTAAAAAAAAAAAGCTTTCATGTATAAGATACATCAATTTTACATTATTTTTTAAAATGTTTCAGATTTCCTTCGTTTTATTTTAAATCTGATTCGAAAAAAATTCCTGAAGTAATGGGTGGTGGAGCTCGTGAAGTACGTTCTATCGAAATTCCATTAGTACATGTGCAACAGCAGTTATCATGGGACTGTGGAGTATCTGCTGTAATGATGGTCCTCAGGTAGGACTACCTTTGTTATACTTTCATATCAATTGTCATTCAATTTATGTACTGGTTTTGAATATGAATGTTGAATGCTTGTCATTTAAATCTATATTACAATGAGGAAAAATTTGTCTCATAATTTTCTTAAAAATATGCATCTTTGGTAGTGAAATATTTAGTCATAATGTTTATTTTTGGTTTTTTTAATTTTATTAGTTTGTATTCACTATGCAATTAATTTAGTTTGGTTTGATTTTTAAGCACGCATTTGTTCTAGAATGCCCTCTGTTTATTGTGAACATTGAATAGGAAAATAGCTGTGAATATATAGTAATTTATAATTTTATAGTAAATTTTTAATATAAATAGTAAAATTTTTGCATAGTGTAAAAGCTTGTAAGCATCTTGCATCACTATATACGATTTTGCTTATACACTATAGCTCATAAAATATTAAGCAAATTGTGTGTGTGGGGGGGGGGAGCAAAAAATTTGTAACCCACCCTGTAGAATGCATAATTCTATATCGAAAAATATAAACAATGATGTGTTAGCAGATTTATGTTATTAGAATTAAATCAAACTTTAAAGGAAAATCTAAAAAGTAAATAAATAAATAAAATAATTTACAGAAGGTAAGAATGAAAATGTCTGACCTTTAGCAAAGTTTTATTCTCAATGATCTAATCAGAATAATGTATTAAATTAGTGCATATCAAAAAGAATTGTGTGTATTCTGCAATTTTTTAAAAAGTGCATCTGATTTTGATCATTTAAAGACAATTAATGTGGAAATCTTAGTTTTAATTCCTTTAATCTTATTAATGAATAAATTACTAATCACATTTTTTAGCCTAATTATATAATATTCACTTTCATGTACTACATCTTAAAATGGAAGATTAGCATTATTTTAAAAAGCAAAAAAAGAAAAGTGCTCTAAGTAAAAATGAATCCAGAAATGTGGAAGTCTTGTGTTCCGAAGGGGACATAGCTTCCTAAGTCTAGTAGAATCATTGAATATTGACACTAGCCCAGAACTAGAATAAACAATGTGCCATGATCTCCCTTAATAAATCATTTTTACTGTTGGTGAAATGATTAGAGGTAATCAAAGAGTTATAACGTGTGATCTCTGTTCAGCACTTTGTTGGACATAGTGTAGAAAAGGTGCAATCTCCTTATTCCATTAAAAATCTTACTCCACTTCATGTGGTTTAGTTCTTGATACATAGCTTGACTTTATATATTTTTAAAAAATGTTCTAATGTGAACTAATTAATCAGCTATAAACCATCTGAATTATACTTTGCTTTTTTCTTAACTCTAAATTATGACATGTTATTGCAATTGTAAATTCAATGATATGTTCATATTAAACATAAAGTGATGATGATGCTATTTATGCAGTTTTGATGCAATTTTACTTCTAAATATTGATCACTATATTATTTTTCGTGATTCTATTGACGTTGTGTGATGACTATTATTGTTATGATTATCAATATTTGGAGACCCACCAATAGAATAAGTTGATATAGCGTGAGACTTCAGTTGATAAAAAATTATGTGCATACATTTTTTTTTTGTTAAAAATAGATTAAAATACTATATGATTTCTATTTCATTTGTTTATATTCTGTAAATGGTTTTAATTGGTTAGAAAAATATATATAAATGTTACTTTTCTCCTGGAACATATTTTGTTGCCCTAAAACTATTTGTCATACTCTCGAAAATGTGTTTTTATAAATACTGAAAACTCATGCTGTAAAATTTACTATATAATTATTTATCATATAGTTTGTTAAATCCAGTGATAATAAATAAAATTGTACACATCTACAGTTAGTACAGGTACACATTCTACGATTCGTTTTGATTTAGCATTTGCCAATATTTTGAGTTTTATTTTTATAAACATTCACTCCTGTTCTTTCACCATTTTTTTTAAACTATTGAAATAGAGGTGAAAGTGGCTAAAATAAAATTTAAAATTGTGCTCATCTTAAGGTATCATTTAGTCCTTTTCATTCTGTAATTTTTCTTAAGTAGAATTATAATCAGAAGTCATATTTGTTTTCAAAGATTGTTTTTTTTAAAGATATTTTTACCACTTTTGAGATTTATTAGTGATTTATCTGACTAATTTTGACTGCTGTTACAAAATTTATATTTTTTAGATTTTTTTTACTTCAAAATATATGAATATTGTTTGCAATTTTGAAAATTATTTTATTTGTTGCTGTTTACTTAGTTTGAGTAATTAAAACCAACTTGTTTCTCTTTTCCTGCTATAGTGAGGCAAATCGTTCCTATCTAAAAGAAAATCTGGATTATATTTCTGAACAAGAAGGTTTTGACAAGAGGTAAAAATATATAATTAGTATCATTATTTGTTATAACAGCTTTTTATTTGCTTGAAATTTCATTTTTAATTTCTAGGTTAATTTATAACCATATGTTTTGGTCTGATTAAATTTCTAAAGGAAAGTTCTAGATAAATAATCAGAATTAGTTTATGTTCCTTTCAATCCACCCCCCCCCCTCCAAAAAAAAATGGCTAAAAAGTGACTGTTTTTAGAAAAAGGAGGGCGATTTTAGAAAAATGGAAACTAATTTAAAAAAGGCGACTATTTAAAAAAATACTGTTGACAAACCAGAGAGTCGCATGAAAACTAATTATGAAAATATCCGAAGATGGAAATGCCCCAAAAAAGTGAGAAATAAAAAAAAAAATTTTTGGAAACGAATGTAAATTTATGGCAAACTAAATGCATCAAGAGTCATAGCTCAAATTCGAAATTTCATTTATTAATAACATTTTATTACAATTGCTGCAATTTGAGAAACTATGGGGAAATGGCTCTAAAAATGATAAATAAGTGACAAAAAATAATGAGAAAAATCATCTAGCTTTACAATGGAATAGTTGTTAATCAGAAAATGATCTAGATATCAAAACATCAGAAAATTATCTAGTGTTTTCAAATGTCCTGATATCATAGTTTAAATATTGGAATATAGAGAACTGTGTGGAAAGGGTTGAAAGATTATAAGCAATTGTTAAAAAACTGTAAAAAAATATGTAGATTTATGATAGATTTGTGGAAATTCAAGTGTGTCAAAATGTAATCAATCAAATTTGAAGTTTGTGTGTCATAATACAATATCAAAGTACAGTAGGGAACCGATTATCCGGAACGATCGGGACCATCGCTATTCCGGATAACTGATTTTTCCGGTTTTCTGAATCGCAAAAAAAAGGCCGTTTTTTTTCATTGTCAAACTCAACTAAAAAAAAATATATTCGGAAATAATCTTAAAAAGAAGAAAAAACGATGAAGTAATACACTAATGATTATTTCCAAAATGATGGTAAGGTCTTTCAAAAAAGAAAGAAAAATCTAATAAGGAAAAAAAAAAATTTTTTTTAAAAAAATAACGGGAATATTTATTGAATTTCGTTCCGGTTTTTTGGTTTTCCGGTTTTCTGATTTCCGGATAACGGGTTCTGTACTGTATCTAAATTTGGAATATCACACGGAAACAGTTGAAAAAATTGTAAAGTCGAAGTCATTTTGATTATTATATTCACCTTCCTCCTCTGTGATTTGTCAGATTTTGATAGCATTTTTGTTTCCCCTCTCCAGTCAAATAATAATTTGCAACCTCCAATGTGTATACCTATTTGTTCTTTTATAATAATAATAATTAAAAAAAAAACATTAAGGGCAGTTTTTTCAAACACTTTGTGTATTATCTCTATTTTCTTTAGAATTTTTTACTTTGTGTGTTACTTTTTTTTTATCAGAGGATAGGTTTTAGGCTACTATTATATATTTCTGATGATACTCTTTAAACTATTATTTCTTCATTTAGAGGCTATTAGAGCAACTGTTTTTTAATGCTACCTTCAGTGAAGGCTTTGTAATCTTATCAGATTAACATGACTATGTGAGGATTCTGAAAATCCTTAAACATATACAGATTCCTTAATATTTATCTTAATTCACCAGGGAAAGTCATGAACCATGATTCTTTGAAAAGTTGTGATTACCTTTATATTTTTTTATTGAAAATAATATTTGAAGCAAACTTTTTGAAGCTTAATTCATCACAAAAATTCCTTAATTTCTTCATTAATACATTTTGAAGCTAAATAGATATCCGTTATAGAAACTTAAAAATAATATCTCTTAATTTAATTTCTAACAAAACTTGTTGTTTTTATTATTAAATATTCTATGATTAAAAGGTGATATGTTTTAATTAATATAATTCATGGATAAACTTGAGTAAACATGTTCTTTTTCATCCTGCAGTATTTATTAAGGAGTTTTTGTAACTTTAATGAAATTTAAATACTTGTTTGTTAAAATTCTATGAATTTAAAAAATAGTAATTATCAAATTTTACTGAATGAAAAAAATTAAGCATTTTAACTGTTAGTCAAGATAAAAAAGCAAAGAGGCCTTTGAAACTGCAAATAAAAATGTTTTTTTTTTGTTATGCCTTTTTTGTACTGACCCTATTTTCTTTTGCTATTCCGGTATAATTATTCAGCTTACAGTAAAAATGTGATTTTTTGTAATTTGTTTTAAATTTAATCATAAGAAAGTTTTTTCTAGAGAGAATCATCTAAAAGTAAGCAACATTAATTATATGCAACCTTCATAGTCAACATCAGTGTACATTTCTTTAAAATTAATTATATATATAACCATTGTCTTTGTTGTTACTACCACAGTTTGTATTCTCTATGTATTTCTGTCTCTCTAATTTAGTTTTAGGATATTTTAACAATGCCATGATAACATGTAATCATCTCAACTCAATTTCCAACAATATATATTTATCATTTGTTATTAGTGAAATAAAATAGTAGCAGATTTCGAAGTTTTTTACTCTACCTTTTAAACTCATAGTTGGGTCTTCTAAATTTATTTGAGTAAATAAGTAAATTTTTTTCAATTTGATCTGAACTAAATAATATTCATTCTAAACTTTACATTTTAAAAGGTTACTTTTTTCAAATAATTAATTGTTTTATTATTCATAAAAAAGACACACATGCTTTAAATGTGTAATAAATACATAATTTTTAAATCGTAATTTTAAGTAGGTAACAATATAGGAAAAAATTGTTAGAACTAGAACAACTAGAAAATACTTAATTATAATTATTCGTGAAACAATTATTTAAATTTTAATAAGTAATTCAATCAAAGGAATTATTTATTAAAATTTATAATAATACTTTACTTGATTTACTAATAAAATTTGTAATAAGTAATCCATTTACAACTAATAATTGAATATAAATTTTTAATTTTGCACTATAATTATGCATTTCTTATACAAATTAAAATTAATTAGGAGTGATAGTAACATTGAGTAATTTGCATAATTCTTTTTTTTTTCAGCACTTGGACTATTGATCTTGCATATCTTTTACACAAATTCGGAATTCGGCATCTTTATTCAACTGTAACTATAGGTGTAAATCCTGGATATTCTGAAGAGGTAAAAAAAAAAAAATTTGAAATTGCTGGTAATTAATTTTTATTATACAATTACAGTGGACATCAGTAAACCACGAAGGAGAGTTTTTGGTTTTATATTTTTCAATTAGCATGTAACTATAAGCAATTTCTAACTTTTTAAATTGATTTTGAGAAGGCTATGATTAATTTTTTTATTCACATTGTTTCGTATAATTTTATTAACTTTGATACCCAAAGAGGATAGCTTCTAACAACTATTCTTGTCATAAATATTCATTTTGTCTGAGATCTTCTTTCTGTAATGTTACACAAAATAATTTTTTTTTTATTATAATTTTTTCATTTTTTTTTTTGCACTTTTTTTTTAAATTTAATATGCCCATATCAACTAAAAAAGATTAAATTTTTGAAAATAACTAATAAAAATAATTTTTATATTATAAATTAAGAAAAACAGTTTAAAAAAAAATGAATAAAAACAAGCTATTTAAAAAAAAGCTATCTAAAAAAATTGCCTGAATTTTAAATTTTATCACATTTTATGGAAGCTTTATATTTTTGTGACTCATCACATGTTATATATAAAATGTGATTTGAATGTACCAGGTGATTAAAAAAAGATTAAATAAGATGCTCATTCAAGGGACATCATTGCTATGTTAAATCCAACCTTGTAAAACACATCTAGGTTTTTTAAAAAGGTCCATTAAAAAAGTTACCAAAATTTCAAATATTTAACATAAAAAATGGTTTCAATGTGGTGCCATGAGTTGGATGTGTAATTAGCTCTATTTCTTTCAACAGCCTAAGATCCTGTTAAACCTTAGTTAGCCCTGTCATGTGAAATTATAAGTCTAATATAATTAATAGTTTCCAATATTGCAAAATAATCTCATGATAGTTTATAATAATTTTTTTGAAAGAACACATGTGTAAAAATGTAAAATGATTTTTTTCAGTAATTTATTTGAATATTTTATCTGTTTTACTTCTAATAAACTATAGAGTTCTTGCTTATGATGATTGAACCTGCCAAACCTTAGCGTTAACTCTCCAAGTGGTAAGCATCTGAGCGAAATTGTTCTGAAATTTTTCTGCTAGACACTTCTTTTACATTAAAAAACATGGAAAAAAAACCAGAATTGTGATAAAACCATCTGTTGTAAGTTTAGCTAAGATGAATACTCAGAGGGTTAAATGTAATGAAAAGTTTTCTTTCTAATATCTTTTTTGAAAAAAGAACTCCTTTATTATAATACTTGCATTTTTTTCTCTAGGATTTTTATCTAAGAGTCTTGCAAAAAGATGCTCAAAGAATAAATGATAGATTCTCTTCTGCTGCTGTAAATGGAATTCAAGTTGAAAAAAGGTAAAGTGAAGTTAATGCCCTTTTATTAACAATCAAAAAGATATCATTCAGTTACAGTAGAACATTAGACATTTGTTTCTTATAGAACCACTAATCGAGAATGATATATAATGGAAAACGATGACTGCGGGTCAATATGAAATTTCAAATAATCACTTAAAATGTACTTAAAGTAATAAAGAAGTAATGGCTTTGAAAATAAATTTGCAATAAGTATGAAAACATTTTAATCTAAAAGAGTTATTTACAAACTAAGAAAATATTTTGGATGCAAAAGAAAGATAAACATATTTATTTTTTTTAAAAATATTTAGAAATTTTTGTTTGAAAACTCTTTTCTTCTCAGCACAAACAAATTTTTGACATTTATTGCAGATTGCTGTTTATTTTTGAGTTTTTGTGAATGTAAAAAGTTCCTCACTGTTTCATAGCCTTTGAGGCATTCCATAGTTGTGATTCCATTTCATTGTCTTCATTGGTATTTTTTTAGGACTTACGTTTAACTCAGCAAAGAGGAAATAACTTCAAGTGTTTTAATGCCAGTAAAATTTTTGAATGATAGATACCAGAATTTACTAGCTTAAGTACCAATCTAAGATGCCCGGTAGCTAAGTGTCAGCGCTTCGCTCTCCCATGCCACAGGCTCTGGGTTCAATCCTCAAGCCGGGCAAGGTTGACTCAGCCTTTCATCCCTTCTTGATAAATGAGTACCAAGCATGCTTGGGAACTATACATTGGGGGTTTCGCGTTCGGCTGACCACCTAAACGGAACATCTGCTCCTGCACCCCTGAGCCCAAGGTAATGAAAACTGAGATGGACACAATAGGCCTTGGCCCTATATGAGCTGTCGCACCACTGAGTTTAGTTTAGTTTAGTACCATTCTAAATGTGTATTATAAATAGCACAAGAATATTGTTTGAGACGATGACCATTAAAACGAGATGATGTATGTGAAGAAATAAAAGATGCGGAGATGCCAGATTAAAATTCAACTATATTAACTACCAATTTTGCATGAACAAAATGCATAAATATTTTCTTTAATTCACATTTTCTTCATAGAATAACACAAAAAATTAATGTGAAGAATATAAAACTAATATTTTGCTATCAATCAATTGAAATTGGTTTTATATGTTTTGTTTTGAAAATAAGTATTCACTAAATACTTTCTGAAAATCAACACATTTCTTTGTATGAATATAAAATTGCATTCTTGCAATTACATTCTTTTGTAGTTTAACAGCCTTAGATTTGATTATAAGGTTATGTGATCTATGAAATTAAATCTCTCTATATTTAAAGTTGATAAATAGTATTTTTATAATAAAAGTTAAAGGAAATTATGAATTTTGTAATTGTCTAGTTAAAATAACAGTTCTGTTTTTGTAATAGGAGGAACTTATTTATGTTTTCTAATATGATAATTTTTGTATTTGTATTAGTTTAATTTAAATGCTATAATTCCTAATCTTCTGCACATTTTTAATCATGAGTTATTTGCTTTGTAGATCTGTTGATATGGAAGAGATAATCGATCATTTGAGTTCTGGTAATCCAGCTATTATTCTTGTCAATGCCAACCTTCTGTTCTGTGATACTTGTCACACAAAAAAGGTATATTTTTTTTAAAAAATAAATAAAATTAGTTCTAAAACAATTAATTGAAAATAATTGCTTAAAAATTTACTTCCATTAAAATTATTTTACTCTTCAGTATTTTTAATAATTGCATGCTTTCTGTGTTTGAATATGTATAACGGAAATTCTTAGGCCCTATTTCCCCATTCAAGGAAGTAAAAATGTTACATAAGACTGAATAACTTCTCTGTTAATAATTATTTTAATTGTTAAGGTAGTAATTAAAGATTTTGGATGTAACATATCAATTAGAAACTTTTCCGCTAGTATTATTAATAAGTAAATAGATGTTGATACCAGATCTTAACTGTTTTTTTTTGGGGGGGGGGGCAGTATTAAATTCAATTAATTCAAATCATTAAATTTTCATTAAGTTCAATTTTATCATAGCAGCATTTTTTTGAAAAATTGAAATTTTTTTTCAAGTCACTACTTATTTTATCTTAATTTGAAAATAATTTACCTTTGTGACCTAAACTTTTCTTGAATTAAACTCAGAAGTATCTTTTTTATTCCTTTGAATAATATTACATTGTAAATACATTTTAATATATAAAATTAATCAATATACTTGGAAAATTTATTATGTTGCTCATTTTAACTTTCCTGTACTCCTTTAGTGCCTGATGCAAATGCTCAGTTGTTGTAATAGTTCATTTTCTTATCAAGGTAAGTTCATACTGTTAGTATTCAGGTTATTTAATCTAAAATAAATTATATTACTTCTACCGTCATGTGGGGCTACTTTGTGCAGGATTTCGCAGTTTTTGAACTTTGACATGTAAAAAAACTATGTTAATTCAAACTTTAGTAAAATTTATTGATGCTGTATTCATAACTGGACTCAGATGAGTGAATTTGATCAATATTGGCATTATTTTTATGTAATATTTACAAATAATAAGTCAAAACATACCTTGCACAAAGTAGCCCCCAAGTGGGGCTACTTTGTGCAGCGATAGGAATTCAGTTTAATAATCATGTTTTTAGTAAAATATTGATATAAAATTGTTAAAAAAGTTAATTGTTGACATTTTTAATAACAAAAACATCAAGATATGTAAAGATATTAGTTTGAAAATAATTTTCAGCGTTAAAAAACCATTTTTTATAAAGAATTTTTTCTTAAAAAGAATGTTTATTTCAAAACATTTGAGTTTAAACAAAAGGAAACCATATACATTTTTGAACATTGAAATGGATGAAATTTCAAAAATAATAATTATTACATATTCATTAACATTTATAATATTGATAAATTTGAACATAACATGCTTGAATGAACATGACAGAACTTGCTCTTCAGTTTCTGTCAAAATCACCTGATGTCCTATAAAATATATTTTTATGTGTTAAATCGTTTGATTAATTCATTAGAAAAATCTTTGTAGAAGAAAAATAATAGTTTACCAGGAAGTTTCACGTGTTTCTTGTGAATTTTATTAGAGATAGTATTTCTGTGGATTTTGTACTTCCGAGAAGCTTCTGCAATCGACATACCACCAGCAACTGCTTGCAAACATTGTTGCAGCTTTTCTAAAGTGTAATCACGGTAGTTTCTCGTTCCAGGTATTTTTTTATAACGTCTGACCATTTTTCTGTCGAAAAAAAAAACGAATGAAACTTTGCACAAAGTAGCCCCACAGTGCATTTTTTTTCATTTTCCGTTTATTTGTTATTAATTTTCAAATTTTTTTTAACGCTAACATGATATAATTGTTTATTAATATATGAATAAAAAATTTTGCTCTTACGACAATTGTTTTATCAACGTCTTTGCGTTTAACAGCTAAAGTTTCCATGCACTCTTTTCGACGTCTGACGTTCTCGGAAAATTGTTGACATTGGATAAACAAAACACACTCTGAGATTGTTTTAAAATTCAAAAAAAAAATTTTAGTAATGGAGGGGACTACTATCTTCAAAATCCACACATTTTTAACTTGAAAAAAACATAATTCTGAATAGCAGCACTTAAAAAGTGCCAAATTCTAATTTGCACAAAGTAGCCCCCGCTGCACAAAGTAGCCCCAAATGACGGTAACTTATAACTTCATTTTTGAAAAATTGGATGGCTTTCATGTATTACAAACTTTTATGTTATTATACTGAATAAATAAGAAAAACCTTTTTATAAGTCTGCCCACTGACACAAAATTTGGTGTTTTTTCCTCTTCTTCACCATTATTTGAAAATTCTAGATAAGGTGATGCAAGTACTATATTAATTAATTTTATCATTTAAACTCTAATAATATACTTTATAGAAAATGTAATGATGTTAATCCTTTAAGTTTAAAATCTTTTTTTAGTATTAATTGAATTTTTTTCAAAAGGAATTGCTTATATTATTCATTTATCATAAATTTCCTGCAGTCATGTTTGATATGTTGCCACGTTAAGTTTCTGGCATTTTTACTACTGTGTAGATGTATACAAATGTTTTGTGTGAATACATTGTTTCTTATTTCTTTGACATAAATAAAAATTAATTTGCAGCTTGAAACTTTATTCTTTACTCGTGAAACCATCATACTGTTAACTGTACAGATATGTAATATAAGACATTTTAGGCTTCTATTTTTCGGTTTTGAATCTGGCATCAATATTTGTACTTGTTGTTTATTCTTTCCATTTAATGTTAGTTAAATTTTTTTTAGGTCATTATATTGTGCTTTGTGGTTTTGATAGTAAAGAATGCAAAGTTCTCTACAGAAATCCTTCAGTACTGAACAGTAAGTTTATGAATCTTGAAATATATCTTTTGCACAACTTAATGATAAATATATAGAAATATATTAATTAATAAATTTATATATTAAAATAAAGATATGATGCATAATTGTCTAATACTGATGGCCTCCATCTTTTTAATGTTTTGTGTAGAAACAAAATGTTCCTTTCTACTGTTCGAAAGATCATGTCATGTCTGTTTTTGTTTTTGAATTTAATAATTTTCAAGTTAATGATTAATAGCTGATAAAAATGATAATTACTAATGATAATTAAAAAATATAATTATAAATAATATAATGTATGAAAAATAGTTAATTTTTTAGTATATTTTCATAAACTTATCAACTATAACTTTTTTGATTATAGAAGTGTGCTCTATACCTTATGACTCATTTGAAACTGCCAGGAAAAGCTTTGGAACTGATGAAGATGTATTATTTGTATACTTTAGCTCTTGACTGGTGTATATATTATTGTCTTCTAAAAAGTTTATGTACTTATAGAACAAACATGAATTGGGCTCTTTAAATCTTTGAAATGCGAAAGAGTTAGCATAGAATTTTGACTTACCTTTTCTCTTCAGTCAAGAGCTATTGTTATCTTAGAGATAATATGAATTTTTTCTACTGGTATACTACTTATAATAGTATATTTATGTATATTGCTTGTAAAAAGGTATTGCTTCCTCATTTTTTGATTAATTTTCTTATAATTATACTCATGACCGTTGCAGCTCTATAAAGCTAAAACAATTTGATCCATAAGTTTTGAGCAAATTGTTTTATAGTGGGGAAAAGTTGGAAAATAAGCACACTGATAAACTTAGTTTAATTTTTATGTATATACTTATGCATATGAATATTTTAATATTTTCTTTTACATATAATGTCCTAATATCAGAATATAATTTGTAATTCTAACAAAAGTCTTACAAACTTTTCATTCACATAACACACATAATTATGTTACAAACTGATTTTATTTAAATAAAATTTCAAATCAATTTTAATTCTACGTTATAATTTCTTTTGATGTGATCAAGAGTTATATCGTGTCATTAACTGGAATAGAGAAATTCATCCTGTATAGGCAAAGTTTATTGCACTGCATTTACTCACATCTTAATTTATCTAAGAAGTCATATTTTAGGTAAAACCAAGTTAAGAAACTTGTTAGGATAGCTTTAAAAATTAGTCAAATGTCTGAACAAATGTACTAATACATAAATAATGTAAAAATTGAGCATTATGTACATGATTTTACTATTATGTTAAGTTAATTATCACCAATTTTTTTTGCAATTTTTATAAATGTTCAAAAAATATATTGAAGGATAAATATTTTATTCCTAAATTTATTGTAAAAATGTTTTATTAAATATGTTTCTTAGTAATCTCTTACATGATTTAATTTATGAATAAATATTTCTTATCTTTTATTCTTTTAATTTTGATAAGCATATTCCTGAAATACATTCTTATCATTGATTTTTATTCAAGATACATTAATATTTATGATGAATTCATTAAAAATTGCTTCCTATTTTATTTTTTCATTGCTAGTTATAAGCAATGAAATCTATCCACGTCAGTTAAATTTCAAAATTTGTATAATTTGCATTTGTACTCATGAAACCAACATTATTAAGAAAATCATATAAATTCATAATATTATCCTCCTTATGATTCATTTATTTAATATAAGTTATTCTTTACTTCTATTCTTGTATTTTACCCCATCATTAGTTTTTGTTTCATTGCCCTAGCATCATTAATGATTATTTGTTTTTATCAAATTTATGTAAAGGTGCATAATTAGTTTATTTATATACTTTCCCACAGCATCTAAATACTTTACTAATATAAAATAACTGTAACCAATTTTTGACCAAATGTATTTAAAAAATTATAATTTTTTGATGCAAATTTTACAAATTTAATTGGAATGAATTTCTTCTGCAATCTATTATTGCTCTTTTATTAAAGTGTTCATTAAAAAAAAATATATGTCTACAAAAGTTCCTTTTGATTTTATTATTGTTAATATTTCTCTTAAGTAAGAGATTTTATTACATATCAAAGTCTTATATTAAAACTGCATTGATATTAGATGTTAATAAATTTTTTTCTTACATTTGGTACAATATAACCATTTAGTCAACATAACTTGCTAAAAATATGATCAGCAGTAGCAGTTAAGAAACATAGAAGTAGATATGGTTTCCATAATTACATATTTCATGCCAAAAATACCAAATATTTATATGATGCATAGTTATTTTTTTCAATTTAATTCTTTAATAAGATTTATTTTACATCTCGATTAAAATATTAAATGCGTTTTATTATCTGCATCATAAAGTATTTTTTAAAATTTACTATAAAGTATAGTTTCGAATTCATGATTTTTTTTTGTTTTATTATTATTATTTTTTTTTTTTTGCCTAAGGATTTTTTATGATGTAGTTGCTTGCATCCCCTGCAGAATGTATTGCCTAATTATTTTCTTAATACCAATATCTATATTTCTGCAAATTTTCATTACACGCAGATAGATATAATAATTCATTTTTATAGATCTATTATTCTAGTCACAATATAAATATTATCACTTTTTCCTTAACATTTCACCTTGAATATAAAAGCTCTATGTTTTCTCCAGTGTTTATATTATTATTCGAGAAACTTTTGTTTTACTATTTTTATAGTGAAAATGTTTTAATAGCTATGGTAAATGAATTTTTATAGTGAAATGATAAATGAAAATGCTTTTATAAAGTATTACAATTGTTAAAAAATTTGTTGAACGTATAAATTTTATATTTTTTAAATTTATGTAAGCACTTGGACTTTGTTGTGTTTCCTTTTATAATGTAAGAAAAGAATTATATTTAACACTTCATATTTTATATTATTTTTTTAAACAATATTAGCAACATTCATATAAGCAATATGTTACATGATTATTTGTTTGTTTTTTTAAAAAATAATTTATGACTAAATTGTTTACATGCACAAAAATGTATGTGATTTTTGTCTGATAGCTAAGTATTATATTTTTTCTAACAATTTTCACGATTTTAAGATGTTTTGTTCTGATTCTGAATTCCTAAAACTTTTAAATTTAGACAAATTTTGATGTTTAGCATTCAATTATAATTACATTAAAATAATTAATAAATTATGATTATGCTAGATACATTCCTGTGATTAATTTTTAAACATAATTTTCTGTGATATATATATATTTTTTATTATGAATAATTCTCAATTTTCAAATCAAGGTTTTCAGAAAAATTGCCTGAGGTTTGAAAGCAGAAATCTATAAATTTATTTGTGGTTGTTATATTAACATAGATTTTTATTCTTTATACATTATGTATAGGAATGACCAAATATTGTTAGCTTTATTAAAATTGTTGTTCAGCTATGTACTTTTTGGGGGGAACTGTGGACTTGGTAAAACTATTTTATGAGGTCCTATTTTTTTTAAAAATTTTTGCTATTGCAAAATTTGAAAGAAGAAATTTCAAAATACATAAAGTGTTTTATTCTCATTTTCCTTCAAAACTGTGATTAGCTTGTTTTTTAATAACAAGTTACAAATTTTCACTATAAGTGCTTTTAATTTCTTTGATGTTTCATTATGTGTTTAAAAAGAACCTGTCATAATTTTAAATATATGTATTTAAAATTATCTGATATTTATATTTTATATAATATCATATATATAGACAGATATATAATATTATATATAATAAAAAAGTCATTATATTCATCTTATATATCATTGTATCATAAAATATTATATTTAAACAGCTCTATGCATTTGATTAAAATCCAAAATCTACGAAAAATAATGATAGGAAGTTGAAGTTATGACATATAATACATATTTCAGCCTACTTGTTATTAATAAAAATGCTTCTTTGTAATATCATTGATTATTTATTATTAACTGCTAAATTTTCAATATTGTTTCAGTAACTGATCTATATGGCAGTTGATTAGTTGTACCCAATATGAAATGGTTTGGCTAAGCAAGGTTCCACCGTAATTTGATCAAAAATGTTGCATGTTTCTTGTATATATCAAAATGTGTAAGATCTCACCCTATGAAAATGTTTTGAAATTTCATTATTGTAAAATCGAGTATGATTAGTAAAATAAAAATTTTCCTTGCTTAAATTTAATTTGTGTACTTAATTATCATTCATTTATCATGTTTTTATTTTTTTAAAAATTCTGATTATTTATTCAATTTTTATTGATGGTAGTTTTAGAGAAAATATGAAAAGAGTGTCATTATGTGGTATGTATAATTTAGATTATTTCAAAAAGTATCTGATTGTGGAGCATGAAGACAGAGGGATACAATTTTACTAAGGTTACATTTTAGTTGGTCATATCAAAAAAATCAATAATACTTTTTGAAATAATATTTTGCAAAATATTAATAATATTTTTACTCGATTTGATAGCTTTGTAGCTTTAAAATGTAATTAAAATTTTTATGAAATAAATGTAAAAAGTTGCAAAACGTTGAAAAGAACAATTGCATATAGAAGTTTCAATATATTTTTAACGTTACACATATTTGTACTAAAAAAAAATGTTGAGTTGTTGGAAGTTTCACTCAAATGCTCTGAATTTTTCACGCAATTTGATATCTTTATACCTGTAAAATATAAGTGTCCTTTTCATGTAAAATGTGTGAAAACGTACAAATTATTCAAGAGTGACCACACATTACACGGTCTATTAAATTTGAATACTACACTCTCATTGCTCTTAAAAATATTTTTTAGATGTCAGAAGTTCTTATAGTTCTGTTTTCAATAAATTATGATCATTATTTTTTCATTTTTTTCTTCTTTTTTTTTTATAAATAATACAATATTGTTTTAGGCGTTTAATAAGCTGAGTCATTTTAAAACTTTTTTGTATCTATAAAATAAGAGTGGCAAAATATAGGATGAGTGTTTCCTAGTGACTACCCTTAATATTATAGTATTAGACTCTATGTAAAAAACATACCCATTAATAGTTCCAAATTGTGAGGAAAAAAGACATAAGTTTTTGACCAATCATTTTTGAGATTGGGAAGAGCAAAAGAGGATAAAAACCATCAAAACCAGTTGATTTTTCTTGTGGGACTAGAATGCATTTCTCTTTCATGGAATTCGTTTATATTGAGTGGTGTTTACAAAAGAGGGTTTAGGTTAGAGGGGAGAATTTATCCTTGAGGGTCCTTGAACTCCTGTAATAGTTGGAAATGAGAACCTATTATTTTGGAGAAAAGGATTATTTCTATTTAATGCTTTATAGTTAAGGCTTTTTCCCATTCTCCTTTTTTATTGAAAAGTTTAATAAAGCGCCCTGCAGTAATGAAAGTTGATTCCATCCTCTTGCCTTTATACCACCCATAGCGTTTCTAACCTCCTACAAGTATAACTGCTATTAGTCTCTAGATTCCAGAACTTTTAAAAATATTGGGGATCTCCAGAACCACTTTTTTTTGTCATAAATTATCATAAATCAAACCTCATCAGAACAAATACTGTGATATGTTTTCAGCATTTAGGGGTGAAGACTTTGGTTGACATGTTTTTGCGTTATTCTTTCTGGAAACTTTCTGGGACGCTTTCGGTTTCAACATAAATTTTTAGTGGTCCAATCAAATCCAATGCTCTTGCAACGTTATATAGTGATTTCTTTTTCAAGAACGAATGTTCTCATTATTTATCGAAATATGTCGCAAAGTCTAGAATTTCAGTAAGACTTCGAAACTAACACCTTTTTTTTTAAATATATAATTCTGTGATATGTATCGTAAAAGGTAACAAGAATTAAATTTCGGTTTGACGTGCTTAACTTTGAAAAACTTTTAAATTGTTTTGAAAGTATATTTGTTTAATTTGATAAATAAAACGGAACTATATGCAGTGGCGAATGATTACTCAAATCCTATAACGTAATGGTCTTTTCTTAACTACAGACGTATAGAAACGTATATAACGTATAGAAAATTTTTACATTTCCAAGAAATTCAAATCGGAGTTCTTACATAAACACAAAAATACGATTCACACCAAAATTATAAATTTTTTTTTAATGTTTCCGCTCATGCTCTGTATGAAATGACTACTTTAAGAGCTCATACCTCGAACAATTTTTTAAATGGTATTTTTGTTATTAATTTAAATTTGTATGAATTAATTTTATTGAATATTTTCATCGATGTTGTTAGAACACGTAATCTAAAGAAATAATGTTTAATTAAATATTCATACCTTCATGAAAAGTTTACGAAATTTTATGCAGTCATTCCATGTAATAACCAAAGTAATCGATAAAAGTTACAAGCTTATAACAATAAGCTTTAGCGTGGGGTGTTTAAAAACAATATTTTTCTTTCGTTTTTACTGTCGTTCCCACGAACCTCTGAAAGCTTTTACTTTTAATAATAAGTATTAGAAATTGCATGACCTAAACACCTCTGAAGTTATAAAATAATTTTTTAAGTATATCAAGAGAAATTAGAAAAATTTTAAGAATTGAAATATGAATAGCATTAACAGCTCGCTAAAAAATGCCTGCGTATGCCACTGTTTATAGAGGAGTAATTTATCAAAGTTTGAAAAACGCTTTTGTTCTTTCTCATTGCAATAATAATTAGCAACTTTTAGTTTTTTTACTTCAACTCTTACAAGGATACTAAAACAAATGACGTAGATTTAATGCGAGCTAAATTTCAAAGTAGGAAGGAATTCGGAACAGTAAAAAATTATCTGAATCTTTTTCAATCCATATATTAGTTTACACTCTCTCTATATATACAGGGTGATTTTAAAAAGATGGGAAAAATTTTAGGAAGTGATAGTACACACCCAGACAAACAATTTTTATCAAAGAATGCATGGTCGAAAACAAAACGCAAAGATGCTGGCGCATGTGGAAAATTTTTTCATGCAAACGATAAAGCTCCATTCCTATTGCGAGTTACTGCGCTACGTTATTTGTCGCCAAGCTTTCTTCCGCTGCAGGGAAAGTTCGCCTATCTTTTCTTCGCCGTTGTACCCAGCATAGCCGCTGCCGGCTACTGTTTTGAACACTTATTGTAATCACATGCCATTAAATTTGCTTTTATAACTTAACTTCATCGTTCTTTGTGTGTTTTTGCCTCATATAAGAACATAAACTTTGACGCCCTCTAGCGGTTTTGGGTT